CTAGAGGTGTGGGGGTGTGAGAGGATTCACCAGAGACAGAGTGGGGAGCACAGTAGGCAGATTGACTTAAACATATTGCTGAGGGGAGCAACAGGCAAGACTGGAAAGGTCTGCTGGGACATGTGGGATTGAACCAGGGATTGAACTCGAGCTGCAGTGGCTGGTGATAGCTTGATAGCGTGTGTATTCTCACCATGGACACAATTTCCCTTGACTGAAACCTAGCAGTGATCTTTGAGAAAATGGGGAGAACAGTAGAGGATGAAGACAGGCAAAACTGCCTTGGGGCTTTCAAAAGGAAAATATGTCTGATTCTGTTAACCACAGACTAGTGAACCTAATATTAACTCACAGCAGAACTTTAACATGGTTTATCAATATTTTATGAGCAGATGAAGTAAGTAGCCAGACAACAACCCACAGAGGTTCAAAGAACACAAGACAGGCCGTGCCAGTCTCATTTTCTCTTTTGAAATGAGCACACTATGAAACAGGTAGAGCAAGGAAATGCAGACAGAATGTGTCTTGATCTCTGCCACTGAAAAAATCCTTCATTGTGTCCTGTGGACACAACCCAAGGGGGAGTGGCTGAGAGCCGCGGAGTCCGGATTGGGCCTTATCTAATCAATATAGGTGTCAACAAGATTAAGACTTACAAAGAAAAAGGTTGCCATTGGACATGAGCTAGGAAGAGAACTAATATTTTGAATGTGGACTCATGAATCAAAACTGTCTCAGCAAACAGCAGTAATGTGATAAAATCAGAATTCAAATAAAATATAAATTCAACAAAATTCAAAGTTTAAAAATCCATACAAAATTTAAATCCTACAGTGTGACTCTTTGGGTATAGACTTAGTCCAGCCCCCAAGTGATATTGAAATAATGTACTCTTGAAACAGATGGTCAGGCTGAGAGAGAAAGTCTTGCCTTGGGCAGTACAGAAACCCATTTAAAGATAGTTTATCATTTTCCTGAAGGTTGGATCAATGTTTACGAATCGTCTTAGGGAGCACATCTGTCAAAGGATAAACAGTGAGGGGGTGAAAGGCCTGGGAACCTAAAGAAAAGTGAGAAATGCAATATGAAAACAAAAGTGCTTCCCCAGAGAATGTGCCTGAGAACAGCCCTCAAGTCTCCTAAGAACTGTCCTGGGAGGGAAACCAGCACAGGCAAGCCCAGGTGTGGTGCCCCCATGCCCAGAGGTCAGGCCACTAAGATCCACCCGGGGTCCTCGCCTTACTATCCAACAGCAGCATGAGCTGCTGTGCAAGGTAATGAGGCCCTGTCCCTGCACAGCTGCCCGGCCCAGTAAGACAGGGTGCAAAGACATCTGCAGACTCTGAGGAGAGTTTCACACTCAATTTCCAGGTACACAGTTCATCATGTAGCTTATTCCTTTACACAATACCCATAATCTAATGAGGAAGGCAGCATGAAGTAGCAGTTAAAAGTCCAAGTTTACCTCTCTCAGGTGTGTATCCAGCTCTGCCACTCACTCCCTCTGTCACCACAGTGACACTGAACAAGTTAGTTAACTACAAGGATCATAGTTTCCCCATCTTCAAAATGGGGCTGATGTGAACATCTACCCCATGGTCTGGAAGGGTTAAGGGAGTTCAGAGCCAGGAAACACTTAGAACAATGTCTGAGACACAGCAAATGCACAATACTTAGCAATTTATTGTGAACACCCCAGAATCATTTGGATTGCCCTGAAGACTGCTGATTCCTGATTCTGGGCAGTGTGGCATTCATCTGACAGACAGGAGAATGTCATTAGTTGATGGAAGGGTTAGATGCCTGAAAGTGACTAGAAAAAATAGACAACAGCATAATATGGATCAAAAGTCTGGGAGTGTCAGGGTGCAGCCACCACAGAGTTTGGCACTGGGGTGGATGCTGGGGTGGGCTCTGCAATGGGCACTGGGGTAGGCCCTGGGGTGGGCACTGGGGTAGGTGCTAGGGTGGGCACCAGCTGCTCAGGTTCCTCTCCCAGGTCCACAATCCGGATGGAGTTTTCCTTCTTGGAGAGCCAGAAGGCAGGGTAGACTGGCTCTGAAAACTTGCAGTCAAACTTGTGAACCAGAGTCATGGCATCAGGTGCCACACCATAGAAGGAGAGGCTCCCTCCCTGGAAGTCAAGGTAGATCCCCAGTCTCCGGAAAGGGCTGGCTTTCAGCGGGGTCTCCATGTCACTGTGCCAGGCAGTGAATTCCTTCCCATTCCAAGAGAGGCTCCAGGAGAAGTTGTTTCCAGAAATGCAACCATTGCGGTCCTCCCCTTTCCGGTCAATACCTTTGCAGGTCAGACCAACGTAGGTGCCTGCCCCAGAGATCTCTACCTCAAAATAGTACCTGTGCAGGTACAAGCTCTGTTGGGACAGCACCTGGCGCCAGTGCATGAACCTGCTGGGGAGGTCTGGGTAAGGATGTTCCCAAGGCGTGGTGTTTGTGACCTTGCGGTTGTCCTCCTGCAGACGGAGATACCTGTGTGCTGTCTCCGGATCAAAAGTGACATCACAAGCATCTGAGGAGATACAAGGCAGGGGGAGTGGGTCAGGAATCAGACAGAACGCTTCAACTCCAGCTTACTGTAGAGTATGAGAAAACATCCACCTCCCACTCCCCCTGGAAAATTGGTGGTGAACACCAGGAAACAGAACACAGTACTCTCCTTTCTTCCTTTCTGAAGTTTGTCTTGCTTCGTGCTTACTATATTGGGTACTGGACTGCATCTAGGAATAAAGTCTATTGATTCATTTATTCATTCAACAAATATATACCCAAAGCCAGTGTAGGCAAGTACTTATGGAAAAATAAGTACTCATACACATTTGATTACTCAGTCTTTTTTTTTTTAATACTTAGCATTGCAGGATGCAAACACCCTACCTCCCACAAAACATATCCTTTTCCCAGCACATCCATGCACACAGTTGCTCAAGTCATGTTCAAACTTATTTTGACATTTCTTTGTCCTCATCCTTGTCCCCCACTTCCCACCACACACACAGGCACCTCAAGTGCTGTGGATTATACTCATATCTCTGCAGCCTAGTGCTTCACTCCCCACCTAAGCCACTAGTCAAACGTCACCCTGACTAGTGCCACCTGCTCCTTGATGGCTATGCTGCTCTCTCTTCCCCCTTCCGTGCCCTCTCCCCAGGAGAGCCACCGTGCTTACTTCAAGGTATAAGTAACAAGGAAACAACATACCCAGAGTAAAGCCCTTGGGTGGTGCACATGCTCATGGGATGAAACAGCAACCCCTTCCCTCTGACTCCAGCCTTGTCCTCTCCCCTTGCTCTTGGTCACATTCCAGACACCTCACCTCAGCCCTCTACCCACTGTTTGCACAGACCATTCCCTCCCCACTGTGCTCACCATCCTACTCTGAGTCTGGATGGCTCCTAGGGTCCTTGCAGATTGCCCCTCCTCCCCCAGGGCTCATGTCCTCAGGCAGGTCCTCTCCTAGACTAGATGCCTCCCATCAGTTTCTCTCGAGTGCCCTGGTGTTTGAGACTTCATGGTATTCACAAGAGTATGTAAAAATCTATTTATGTTTGTCTGCTCCATGCTTGTCCTCCTTCTAAACAACAAACTCCACATTTCAAGTGGGACCTAACCTGGGGCTTTCGCTCAGAGATGCTCAGGATATACTTCCCAAATAAATTGGCATATTAAAAATTAGTTAAATGATCTTCATTTAACCTAGAATTCCCAAACTCCTTGATTCTGGTCAGAGAAATTTCACTTTTTCAGTTGTAAGGCAAAAGTATCTTTATTTTATCATAAATGTTTTTTTTTTTAATTGGGATAACATTAGGGTTCCCCACCCCCATCAACTATCACCACAGTTAAGTCAAAGAAACTCTTAGTAGTCAATGAAACCACATTTTTGGAAAAGGGATACAACATCCCAGGAAGTCAAAAGCAAAACTGAGTGTGAACTTATTACAAGCATTTAGCCAGTAACTCTGTTTTACTAAAAGTGGCCCCGATAATAGCAGCAATAGCACTTTTATCCACTCCCACGTCCTTTGATAATCCTCGGCATTCAGATGTTGGATAATAATGTTATTCTTGTCATCTAAAAGGATCTAAGACTCGTAAGAAGGTAGGTGATTATATGTCTTCAGACAAGGAAACCAGAATGGGTCTGAAATTCTGGAACATTCTGTTACTGCCAGAAAGTAGTAATTTAAGAATGTCAAGGGCAGAATATCCATGCTTAAAGGAAAAAGAGATCTGTTTAGAAGTAGTTCCCACTAGTCACACTGGCAGACTGAGTTCAGAGCCTTGATAACTTAACAAGCTGAGTCTATGAAAGGCTCAAGCCTATAACAAGAGTCAGAAAATGTTAATATCATGTATGAAACAAGATATTTGTAATGCCAAAGTAAAGAGACTATAATAGGATTTATTTAATTTTCTTTAAGTGCTTAGAGTAATAGGTGTTTAGTTTCTTGTATCAGTTTATAAAAACATAGCTGGGGCCCTCCCTGGTGGCGCAGCGGGTTAAAGCACTGCACTAAAAAGCTTAAGCCACTTCTGCATGAGTTCGATTCCTGCCTGCCCTGGAGGTGATCCACATGGCCCTGCAGACCTCTCCTGACCCGCCCGCTGCTCCCCTCAGCAGTGCACCTCGATCTGCCTGTTCTGTTCTGCTCCCCACTCTGTCTCTGGTGAAGCCTCTCACCCTCCGCATCTCTGGCCTGTACCCCAGTTCTATATGCATAAATAAATGTTTAAAAAAAAAACATAGCTATGAGTCTGTCAGGAAGCAGAAAGAATAAATAAAGGAAATGGTGGAAGTCAAGAGGTTCTGGGGAAAAACAGAGGTTATGTCCAACAAGAGATAGTCATCTGAACTTGAGGCTCCACATAATAACCGGAGAAAAGGGGGATCCAAGAGTTAAGTCAGCCAATGGTCACTTCCAGGAAGCAAGGTTCAAAATTATGTTCCAAAATGATGAATTAGCCAAATATTATAAAAAGGAGACTTGACTACGAAGATGCAAGCCTTTTTCTAGTAGAAAATGGAACTTTGTGAATCTGTTAGTCACAATGAAGTATTGATTAGAAATACTTTTTTTTTTTTTAATACTCTCAGACCAGGTCAATACCACATAATGACAGGACAGGGGTTAGGCAGTTCTGGTTAAGCGAGACTATGATAAGAATCATTTAGTAACCAGGCAGGATTTTAAAAAATGCCAACATCATTTTTGAAAGAGAGGAACTAACCCAGATTCGGGGAGACTCAGGAGATGTGGCAACTGGTTATCCAGGATCAAACTTTGGCTGGCCCAAAAAGGAACATTAGTGGAACACTAATGAACTTGAAAAAATTCTGTAGATCAGCTAGTAGCATTGTCCGTGGCCTAGCTTTATTGATTGTATGCTATACTTATGTAAAGTATTAATGTCTGGAGAAACTAGATGAACAGTATACAGGAGTCCTTTGTCTTTTCTTTGTTTCAAAATAAAAAGCTGTAATTTTTTAAAAATGTACCATTGTGGGATAGACCCAAGTTTGCAAGAAACGCGGCCCTGTGAGAGATGGCGTCCCTGCTTCAGCAAAGCATGTGTTGACCTCATTCACTGGGGAGTGGGGCTGCTTACCACTTACATTGCAGAAACTCTTGCCTGGTGATGGGGTCCGGTATGGAGGTCCGATACTTGCGCTCGATAAAGGCAGACACTTGAGTGCTGATGTTATATTCCTCTAAAAAACCAGAATTTTGAATGCACACCTGCCCACAAAGTAAGGAGAACCTAAGAGGTCGGACTTCCCAGCCCCTCTTCCCGGGCTTCCTGAGAGAAATGGGGCTGGCCTTCATCTTGTCTCAGAGAACTGTGCTCCAAGAAATGTATTTCTCTCCTGATATTCACTTGAAAGTATAAGCACCAGCAATGTTAGAAGCTTGTCACAGAAATGCCAGATAATTGCATGATGTGACTAACTCAACTTCTGTGGGTCTTAATTATCAAATGAATTCATCAAGATAAGTGTTTCCCCCTAACAGGGTTGTGACATTCGCCCTCATTTCGCCTTCCCCATCAATTTACTACAAGTCACATCTGTAGCCCACAGCCAGAAAGTTCCTCACCTTCCTTAGCAAACTCCTGGAGATTTTCTTTGTAGTTCTGCAGCAACTGGACCAAATGTGCAGTGGAATCCATGATGAGCTTGCGAATACCGGAGAGCTTATCCTTGAATCCTATGTAAACACTAGGGAAGGTGCTTTCCTCTGCGTTCTTAAACTTGCAGTATTCCTGCAAGTTTAGAAAAGCAAATATGGCAGAACTTGCCTTGGTTTCTGTACTTCTTAAACTGGGCTGCTCTCATCTTAAGGGCACTTCCTGCATCTATAAAATGGGTTGATAACACTTCACAACTGAAGTGTATGTTAACCATCCTGCTCAGAGTCTAACAACATAGAAATTTTTTTAACTAGGAAAGGAGTTTTAAAACAATCAGAAATTAGATAGGAAGCCCAACTGAGATGGGAAAAAGCACAAAATAATGTAGAAATAAACTCGTATTTTTTTTTTTAAATCAGAAATTAGGTCCTCCCTAGAGGCACAACAGGTTAAAGTGTAGCACTATGAAGCGATCTGCAGTCACTGCAGCAGTAGTTCAACCCCCGCCCTGGAGATGGTCCACATGGCGCGGCAGTCCTCTGCTGACCCACCCACTGCCCCCCTCAACAGTGTTCTTCGTCAATCTGCCTGTTCTGCTCCCTGCTCTGTCTCTGGTGAATCCTCTCACTGCCCTTGCACCTCTGGCCTGTACTACAGTTATGTACGCATAAATAAATAAATCTTTTTTTTAAATCAGAAATTGTTTTAAATGTTCCCATAAATAGCTCAGATGGGATCAAGAATAAAACTTATTTTATCCAACTGCCCAAGTGAAAACAACATTCTTGCTTCCTTCATTCCCTCAGTATTTTTTCCCTTCTTTTTTTTTGTTTATAATTTAAACTTAAGCACAATAAAGAATAAAGGAGCTGATATAGCATCAGATAGACCCACAAGTCCTCAAGCAGGAAAGCTGCTTTTTCCTTGTTCAATTTAATGCACCACTTTTTCTAGTTCTTATACTGTGCTTTAGTTTGGAAAGTATTTTCATATATAGACAGTCATTATTAAGTCACCTAATTTTCAGTATAATGTGGTGACCAGGGAGGACTGCTTTCAGATATAACATAAAATTCAAATACAGCCAAAGCATCAACAAGATGCTCATGTAGAGCTCATGTAGCCAAAAACTGAGTGATGAAAACAAGTGTACCAAAATAGTTGAGTAAATCAGTGAAAGAAAGAAAAGAAAAAGCCCAAACCAGGTCATTGATAGGGAGAAAGATAAACATTTTAACACAGTAGACTTATTACTGAGGCTGGTAAAATTAACAGTATTGCATCAGTGGGTGTATTTACAGGGTAGATTAGCCAATGCATGTTGTTACAACTGGTTAATAATTTGGGGAGGGGAGAGAGTTATGGCCAGCCAAAATAAGTAAGTTATACAACAATATGCTTTGTATATTTTAAAATGTTTATGTTAAAGTTATAAAAGGAGAAAAGAAAAACAAAGAAAATATTTATATACCCATTGGGAAAGAAAGCTTGAGGAAACTCATGGCATGGGAAATCAAATATTTATTTACATCTTTGATACTGGAAAGCATGTTTGTCTGTCTTTCTCTGCTTCTGTTTTCACTTATTAAAAGGTTAACTATGGTGGTCTTGGAGTCTTAGGAATATGGAAACTGTTTTCCTTCATATTTTGGGGGGAGATTTTTTTTTTTTTTACAATAAGCATTTATATTTTTTATAACTAGAAAGGAAAAAATTTTTTTAAAGATTTGTTTATTTGTTTATACAGAACTGGGGTACAGGCCAGAGTCTCAGGGGCAGCGAGAGGCTTCACCAGAGACAGAGTGGGGAGCAGAACAGGCAGATCTACGAAGTACACTGCTGAGGTGAGCAGCGGGTGGGTCAGGAGAGGTCTGCCACGCCATGTGGTCACCTCCAGGGCAGGCGGGGATTAAACTCATGCGGAAGTGACTTTAGCTTCTCAGTGCTGTGTTTTAACCCGCTGCGCCACCAGGGAGGGCCAAAAGGAACTTTTTAGTAATGTGATCAAGAAAAACATTGTTTGTACTCAGGAATATCAGTGCTGAAGGAGCATTAGAATGTATTTACTTTCACGTGATTGTCTGATAAATGAGAAATCTGAAACCTAGAGAGGTTAAGTGACTTGCTAAAAAATTACATAGCTATTTATTTAGGGACAGAAAACACACTCAAACCCAAGTTCCTTCCATGGAACCTACTTTAAGTCAAATAGATTCTATCTTGTCTCTAACATGTTGAAGTTCTGAGCAAATTTTTGAATATTTATCAGCAGCCACAAAGAACACCAACTCCCTGATTTCTCCTTCTCAATGACCAGGCAAGAACAGCAATTCCTTGTTCTCTATTTATCAACCATTAAGAAAGAAATAGTAGACCATCTGCTGATTGTTACAAAAGACCTCGCTGAAAACTTCTGTCTGAAAACTCTTTTTGTTAACTACTCCAAATCTTTCCAAACATATGACCTAAGCTCAGACCACACTTCCTGCTTGGTCCTTAAAAACTCCCCTATATAGGGCCTCCCTGGTGGTACAAGGGGTTAAGTCTCAGCACTATGAAACAAACTGCAGCCACTGCAGCACGAGTTTGAATTCAATCCCCAGCCAGGGCGTTGACCCACATGGCATAGAAGACCTCTCCTGCCTCACCTGCTGCTCCCCTCAGCGGTGTATTTCAGTCTATCCACCTATTCTGTTCCCCCACTCTGTCCCTAGTGAATCCTCTCACCTCCCACACCTCTGGCTCATACCCCAGCTTTTGTATGCATAATTTTTTTTTTAATCTCCCCTATGCCCTAAGCCCTGACCCTAGGGAAAACACCCTGGCAATGTCCCTGGGTTGTGGACCCAGGTCATGATCCTAATTCTAAAATAAATGCTTGCTTTTATCCTCTAAGAAAAAATAGAGGTAATATTGACTTAAAATACTGTATATATTTGAGGTATGAAACTTCACACTGGACAACTGCATATACTTCACCATGCCCACCACCAAAGTTTTCTGGATTTTATTACAATCAGTCAACACTTCCTTAAGATCATATGTTCTCTTATCTGTCTCTAAGGACATGTGGCTTAGTGGATAATACATAGTACACTATAATGAAAAGTCACATAACCTCTCAAAGGCCTTCCTCAACCAAAACAGCACAAACAGCCCCCTCTGAAGGTGAGAGATCCCTAGTCTTAACCCTGCCAGGCAAGCCTATGCCAAGTCTCTGTTAGCACAGTTTACAAAGTACATTGAGCTGGTGTTTGAAGTCCTCCACTGGCTTCTATGACTTAAAGAGGAAGAACAAATTTCTCTCACAACCAGACACTGAGCCAGCCTCACCCCCATCACTATACCCAGCACCCCTTCCCTAATCTTACAAAACTGCTTTGGTTCCCCAAATCAGTTATGTTTTCTCAAAACATCTCTGCCTTGCACATGCTGTTCCCTCCCCTAGAATATACTTCTCCTTTAACGTTACTCATCTTGCATGACCTGATTCCAGCCTCCCTGCTCTGCGAAGTCTTCCCTACCAATCCTGTACTCCCCTACTCTTCCAAATCAAGGCCTGCAGTCACCCATTTATCAAAAGCCTAAGAGAATGGGGGGGGGTGCTCTCTGGCATTAGTTGCATGGATGCCTCCACTTCCACAACGCACCCCCCCACACACACACACACACAAGCTGTACCTCCAGGAACAGGACAGTGTTGTTGATGGTAGTAATCCTTTCCAGCTCCTGCTTGCTCTTCTCCATCTCTGCACTCCTGTGCTCCAGGTGGGTCTTGATGCTGTTGGCCTGGCTCAGAGCAGCTTGCTCCTTCTCCTCTAGGAAGAGCAGCACATCCATCTGGGCCTTCTTCATGGTAGCAAAGAGTTCCCCAAACTGCTCCTCCACCACGGCCTTCACCTCTGACACCGACACCTGGCAGGAGGCAGAGGGCAGCAAAGAACCTACTAGGTATCCAACTTCATCAAAGGCCAACAGACAGAAATGTAAACCTGAGACATCTGCAAATTAAGAATCGATTGCTATTGTAAAAGAAAGCTTTTAATAGCATATGAACCCCAGGTTCCTGGGATTTACTCTCCAAGGTATAGACATTTCTTAGTGGGTCACTACCTTAGTCTCCTTGTCCATGTGATGAGAGAGTGAGCTCTAATCTCTAAGACCCCTTCCAACTCTGTCTGGGGCTGCTATTCAAGTTTCTGGAATGGATTTCCTACCAGGGCAATGCGCACACTCAGTATATTCAATATTGTATTTCTTATTTTTAAATTAATAATGTGGCTTCCTATACAGGTCAGTTGCATGTATTAGCTTCTTCAGCCTTTATTATGCCTGGAGAAACTGCCCCCTGGGTTCACCAGAGCAAAGGTGCATCTAAGCCTATGGTGTCTCTACCAGACAGGAATGTTCAGGGTGTGTGCAGATGAGCACTGTAGGATGAGCATGCCTATGCAGAATGGAATGGGAGGGCAAGAGGGCCAGTAACAGGGGCTGCTGATATCCAGCGCAAGGACCTCTGCCCTGCTAGGCCAGGGGCAGGAAAGCAGCCCACAAGAACGCCTGTCAGTCTTTGATGGCTGGCAGAGGGAAGAATGGTGGTGGGGGTGGGGAAAACAGGGGCACCTTTACTGGAGGGGATGCTGGAGGGATGATGTGTACATTTAGCATTTTTGATAGATTCTTGGAAACTGCAACTTTCAGTCAAACATGCAACAAAATCAATTTTACTAGGGGTAATTAATATAAACAAGAGCTAAGTTAGGACAGCAGTTTTCTTCCCACAAACATTACCAAATTTCTAAATAAAACCCTAAAACACTTCTAATACTCAAAATCACTTGTATCCATTCATTTTCCACACCTCTTTCCAATTCAGGGTGGTGAGTGACAGGAACCTAACCTGGAAGATCAGGACACAGAGAGGACATAACCCCAGACAAGACACCCCACAACTACAGGCTGCATTCACACACACACACACACACACACATTCTCTCTGCCTGGGACAACTGAGACACGCCAATGAGCTCTTGTGCACATCTGTGGGATGTGGAAGGAAACCAGAAACCCCACACAGACATGGCGAGAACATGCAGACTCACACACTCAGCACCCCCAGCAGCCCTGGCTGGTAATCCATGTTTCTCATCATTATTAAAACAACATTGAACAAAACATGAGATTTTTAAGGTTACTGGAGAACCTGCTGTAGAACCACCCCTTCATTCTTAATGCTGCCCCGCTGCCTCAACAGACTTCCTCAAAGTTGGTGCAGCTACTTGGAGCTGGAGATAAGCAAACAAGTCACAGGATTGAGGCAGAGGGCAGATGGGAGATTTTTGTTCCAAACTCCTTGAGCCCAAACTAAGAAGACCCTTTATGCAAACAGTGGTTGTAGTAAAGTGCCTAATATTGTGCTTTTGATTGCTAGGGCACCCACCTATTTGAAAGGACAGGCATTTTAATAAACATATTACCAGCTGTCTGACACAGCCATCAGCTAAACAGCTCGATGAGGAATTACACTGCCCCGGCCAGGTGATCTAGCAAATAGCTACTTGAAAGACCACCCTTCTTCCTTCCTTCACCCTTAAATCCTTCACTTATGTATCAGTTAGCCGAGAGGCAGAGCCCCAGGTCCAAGATCTCTCTCTTTCTCTCCCCTAGGCTCCCTCACTTGCTCACCCTTCCCTGCAGACTCAGCCTCCAGAAGTCCAGACGTCATTAGTCATAGGGGCCGCTGGGCTCTCCTGCCCACTCCCAATCACCACCAGAAAGCACAGGAACCACCGCCAGGGTGGTAAGGAAGGAGTGGAATCATTTTCTCCCTGTGATGATGACATGTGGGTTTGTTGTGGAAGCAACACCATCAGAGTGAGAAGCATGAGTTTAAATACAAACCTCAGGGTCCAAAGCCCACTCCTGCACTGAGACCCTCCTGAGAAAGGAAACCAGAGGGGGGCTCACATGATGGGGATGGATTCAGTCTTCTCCCACATGTAACCTCTCATCCTAAGCCTTCCCATGGAGAAACACTTCTTCCTTACATGTAAATGTGCCAAGTATATGTTACTCATTGCCCAGGTGGTGACACAAATACAGTGCTTCCTGCATCCAATTCAGGGTAGAGAAATGCGGGGCATTCTTCAACTAGCTGGTTTGCAACAATGAGGTAGAAGTTGAAACCACTTAAGCCAAAAGGTGTCCCAGGGTAAGTTGAATTAAGAGCAGAGCTTCATTGGCTCTTGAGACATAAGCCCTCTTTGGGCAGGAGGGGGCTTTGGGGAGGCAGAGTAGACAATTAAAAGAGAAAACCACCCATTGTTCTCTGCCCTCAGCTACAAACAATTCTTGGAGGGAGAGGCAGGCTTTTGATCCTAGAATGAAACATTTGCTTTCCTCCTTTTGTTCAGGGATCTAGGTCAGTAGTCCTTTCTTATTATCAGTTTACAGTAAATACACAAAAGAAGCTGATTCTAAAATTCCCACGGGAGAGTTAACACAACGCAGTGTAGTAAGGTGCATTCTCATAGATGCTGTATGTGCATCCTGTTAGCAAAGGCAGGCTCTGAGTCAGCTTCCTGGGTTCAACTCCTACCTGGCTAAGAACACAGCATCTTCGACAGGTTATTTAGATTCAATACACATTAGGTTCCTCATCTGTCAGCTAGGAATAATAACAGCACCTCGTCAGCTTATTGTGAAGGCCTGCTATATGCTATGAAGATCCTTCAGCATTAAGATTAATATTGTCGGGCCCTTCATATGCACAAGGGGTTAAAGCGCAGCACTGTGAAGCTATCCACAGCCACTGCAGCAGGAGTTGGACCCCTGGCCAGGGAGTGGCCCACAGGGCACAGCAGACCTCTCCTGTACCCCTGCTGCTCCCCTCAGCAGTGTATTTCAGTGGATCTGCCTGTTCTGCTCCCGACTCTGTCTCTGGGGAATCCTCTCACTCCCACAACTCTGGCCCGTACCCCAGTTCTTGTATGTAAAATCTTCAAAAAAAAAAAAAATTAACATTGTCAACAGTATACTCATTTGAGCTTTATGAAACTCAACATGCAGAGGTGTTTTAGCTAGCTCTGGATCATATCTGTTCTGTATTTGCTTTGAATTTCATGCTTGTGCTGCCCACGCCACCTCATGGTCCATTCTCTCTGCCTGCCAGGATATAGGGTAGTGAGACTCACATGCTGAATGACCTTCTATGATGCAAAAAATCAAGATTATATATAATTCCTGAAATTTTAGCTAAACACCAGCTTCCAGCCCCACATGCAGCCTTTGCATATGATTTGCAAAAATCATGTACAAATTTTAAAATAATAATGTTACTACTATTGGACTAGTCTCGCTTTTACTCTAAATTATTTTTTTAAAAAATGCTTGTCAGTTTTGAACTGTAAGCTAACTTCATAACAAATTCCGACAGGTGAGGCCATCCCATGGTATAGCTAGCCAGCTGCATCCCATTTGTTGAGAAACTCCGAAGAGCTGATGGACACAGGGCCCTGTCATGTTCCACAACCCAGATGCACCCAGCTGAGCCCACAGCAGTGGCAGGTATGCTGAACCCTAGCAGGAACCCAGATGCACCCAGCAAACACCCAGATATGTTGAAGCCTAACAGGGGACCCAGACAAGCCTTACCAAAACAGATTTGTGGTTGGCTTGGAGCCTAGTGATGGCGTTTTCATTCAGAGTGAGTTTCCGCTCCAGCTCTGACTGTGTGCGCCGAAGTTCAGCCTAAGAGGAAAGGACAATGTTAAGTGGGAAAGAACCCAATGCTCACAGAAAGTCCCCGAGAGCAGCAGTACTACCCACCCCTCCACCCTTCTTCCATGAACCTCAGAAGTCTGCCCAGGTTGCCCCCAAATAAAGGCACAAAGGGTCAGTCATAAACCAGCACTGCCGGGGGCTGAATCAATACAATTGGCTAAAATGCAGAGCATAGGCCTTGGACTGCACAGGTCAGTCTGTTAAGCATTGATATGAATTGTCTCATAGCATTCTAACCACACCCATCGTGGGGACATATCAGTGTCTCCATTTATAGGTGATAAAATGGAAGGTCACACCGTTCATTACTGGTTAGAGTCCAGGTCATCTGATTCCAGAAGAGCCAAACAAGGAGCACAGGTTTGGAGCCAGTGGTGGGGATCCCATCAGAAAATCTACTAAGTTCTGCAGATTTCCATTACTTCATCTACCTGAAAGTGCCTCATTCACAGGTTTATTGTGAGGCTTGAATGAGATCATGTGTGTTAACAAGAACGTTTGCTTAGTAGTTGGTACATTGTAAGAACTCAGCGGCAAGGATGCACTGTCATCAGTCATCATGACTGCTTCCTAGCAAATGTTCTTATTCACTCCTGGTGCTAGAGAGGGAACCCTCCAGCCCAGGCTAGTGCCTATTGGAAAACCCCAAATGTACTTTCCCAACCCCCCCCTACCCTGCGCCCCCTCCCCACCCCACCGCTTAGCTTCTTTCTAACTCTTGGGATGCCCTGAGCACTTTCTGCCAAGTAGGGAGTCAGTGAATAAAACCTAAGTCTTTTCAGACTCCAAAGCCTCTATCACTTCCCTGCTTCTTCAAGAAGGAAGGAGGAGGAAGAGAGGAAGGGAGGGAAGGAAAGAGGGGTAAGGGAGGCTGGGGGTGTGGAGGAGGAAGGGAGGTAGGAAGGAAAGCTTTCACTGCTTTTAATAGCTTATGTCTTCATCTTAAGCTATGAGTCATTATGCCTGAATAGAACTCAAAGGGCATGAATGAAGGATCTCTCCTTTCTACTCCTGAAGTCTCGGGTAGTTTCAGAGTCCCCAGAGTGACAGAATCTAGGCAGGCAGGGGACTTGCTTCACCAGGACACTGAAGAAAGCAGTTCACTCAGGTTCTGCCTTGCAGCTGAGGGGGCCCTAGTGCCCTTCCATCCGTGAGACTTGAGACCTGATGCCCAGGAGTGAGGGAGGAAAGTGGGAGAGGAGGGGGGAGATGGCCTGGTCTATTTGGAGGCGGCTATGGAATCTTGAACTATATGATACAGTGACTTGTTCCAGGGCAGTGGGGGACACGTGACCACAGAGTGACATGTGTCACTCTGGGGACTCTGAAACTACCCGAGACTTCAGCAGCAGAAAGGAGAGATCCTTCATTCACGTGGTGAAAGCACAACAGGACACACCTAGCAACAGACATGGTATGACACTGTGTTGATACAGTCATCCCCAGAATAAGCCAAAGCCACGGGGAGATACCCAGAGAGCATCCAGTAAGGGTACTCTCTCCATGGTCTGCAGATTTCCATAAAAGGAGGAAAGGACTCCATAGTACCTAATGGGGACCTCTCTGAGTCACCTCAAAAAAAGGCACTCCCAATTACCTCAAAAGGTGGGGCCATTTTGGGAGACCAGCACCTCCAGTTATTCCTGTTGCTAGAAAATGATGGGCTGCCTCAGACGCTGGCTTCAGGGCTTCCCAGAGCAGCAGTCACACACACATCACAGGCCGGCGCAGGCTCTGCACAAAAGCAGGTCTGTGTCCCATGAGTGTGGATGGCCCTACACTGAAGTGCACAAAGTTCTGCCTACTTCAGCAAAGAGATGACAAATGTGCCAGAGGCTCATATCTGGGATCTGATGACTTGCCACTTGCTGGCTGTATGACCTCTGACAAGTCATTTAATGTCTCCTCTGGTGCAAGACCACTCCGACATGTTCACAGATTGTTCTTACTTCTATCTACAGGGTAGAGCTGGCACCCAGAGCTCGGTGGCCAGGGACCAGGTTAGAGATACAAATAGGAACAGGAGAGGGAGTGAGAAAAGAAGATTCCAGATGATGGTGCCTCCTTTGTATTTCTGCCGTGCCTCGTGAACCGTTCTGAAGCACTTGCATTTGGCAGCATCAGTCTACCTGGACCTTGAGTTTCCTCAGCCAACTGATCTGAACCTACTAGTCAAGTAAGTCCAGGCCAGTCAATAAGACAGCTCCCTGCTTTTAAAACACTTACAGCCTATGGGATGTTTAAGAAAAATATAAGTGACATTGTTACAAGTTACATAATATTGAGTCCAAGACATTCCTCAGAATTTCCAGGAGAAATTCTTTTCATGGGTGGCTTTGAGTCATCTGCCTTTTGGCTTCAGCAAACAGGCTGTGACCATTGCTGTATAACTGCTCCCAAGAGAAGCACCAATACTTAAAGCCCTCAGAAACTTAACTCCTGCTCTATTGGTGACTGAGTTCAGCATGCAGGACTGTACTTTCTGGAATCAATGCTGAGGTTGTAGTAGTAGTCTTTCACTAGTGGACATCGAGATCTAAACAGGCCAACTCAGGCCTCTCCTCCTCCAAGAACCCTGCCCGACCTCATTGCCAGTGTCAGCTCCCTCTCTGGAATGTGTGACATTTGGTTACCCTGCCCTTTGACACCCCACAGAGCCATGAGCGTGCATTGGCTTCCTGATTAGAATGCACACGCCCCAAAGACAGACATCATCACCTCACACTTACTGCACAGGAAGCACTCAATAATGTTGGATAAGCCTGAGGAAGAACAGGAAAGAACCAATGGTGCTTACCTTGTCAGTCAGGACAATAGGAAAGCTGTCACAGAAGTGCTAATACACACACACACACACACACACACACAGTCTCATTTCCACCAGAGCAAACCTGCGGTTCAGAGGTGAGAGGAATTAGCAGCCAGCAGAGAAGGCCAGATGCTCTTGAAAATGAGTGGGTTCTCAAGACTCTGACCTGGGGGAAAGGGAAGCACTGGGAACCCTATTAGAAAGAGCTGGTCCCCATTTGAATGCCCAGAAGGAAAGAACTAATCAAAAAATACCCACCTTCTCAAAATCCAAACAGTTTTTGAGAGCTTCCAAAGATGCTCAGTTAGCAACTGAAAAATAAGTTGCTCTGGGGACCCATACAAGATCTTGGCTGCTTTGTGTCCACATAGCTGACCCTGCCATTTGCAGTTTCCTGTACACAGTCTGCCTGCCTGAGTAATTAGTCCTTATCACAATCCAAAGTGACCTTCAGCAAGAAACTCCAGCAGGTTCAGGCTGGCTAAAGGGAATGCTGGGCTTCTAAAGTCTTCATTATGTGTAATAATAGTTTCAAAACAATTCTAAAGTGGCTGCAACCACCGCAAGGTATGGTGTATTCTAGACTGGTTTCTTGGGCTCCTTGCAAGAAATCTTCAGCTCCTGAGATATGGAGGAGCTTCTAGAAGGTGACTGCATTTACAGGTTAAATGCATGCTGAGTAAAAAAAAAAGAGAGAGAGAGAGAGAGACAGCATGGGAAGGACAAGAACTCTTAGGCAGACCAGAAAGCAGAAGTTGTGGGGGGGGGGGGCCATCCCCAAGTATCTGGGATATGATTGCTTTTCAGCACCCAAAACTGCCCTCGAGCCCCTAGCCCAGCTGCCTTGGTCCTTCTACACCTTACAGGGTTCTCTTGTAAAATGTCTGATTTGGGGGCTCTGCTCTTGTTTTAATCAACTCTTTCAGCTCAGAATCACAATTCCCTTGAATCTCTGTAAGTTCCAGTTAACATTATTATTTATAATTCACATTGTGTCTATTCTGGAAGAGACATAGAACATTTCTGACAGGAAGCAGAAGGAAGTATAGATTTAACTCTAAGGGAAAAGAGGTGGGGTCCCAGGACAGGGGAGTGAAGGTCCTTCCTAGTAGTATCTATTGCAGTATTTGGTGGCGATTGCTTTTCACTATGTACATGTACAGCTTTTCCAGTTAAATAGGTAAGTTCAGATATCTACCCAAAGGAGAAACCAGTACATTTGCCTAAATATCTACAGTATACATGTGGCCAATTTTTGGTAAAAAACAAAAATGTTCGGTTATAATACGGTGATGTTGGGGTCCCTTGCTTGTGTTCCCCCAGTAAGTGGGTTTTCTGCAAGCTTCCATTTCTCACTCTGTATTGAGTCAGCTACACAAACACAGACAAATGTGGTAGGGATTTAAAAAAGAGCTGCCACATCATACAGGCATTTAAGGACCACATGAGAAAATCCATGGAAATCTCTCAGCATCTGGCAATGCTCAAAAAAAACCCAAACTTGTTTTTCTTGATTATGTGGTACCTTTTCCTTTAATGTATCTATCTGTTGATACCAGATAGAACCACTGACTGGTTATAAAAACAAGAAAATGGGTGATAGTGTACTGACACTGGAAACAGTTGGCAATGAGTTCCAGGATAAAAACGGTAATTCATTGGCATCTGGAATACAGAACTTTCTGTTTCCAGACCTGGTCTAGTAACACTGGATAACAGAGGGCGCGGAGGAGGGACCCTACACATTCACTGCCCTTTTCCGAAACGTCCTTCCTCTGCTGCACAGGCAGCTGTGTGCTGGCGGCCAGGTGCTGTGCCAGCAGGAGCAGCCACGAGGAGGGACATAAGACACATGGACAAGTCTGCTGCACTGCCCTACTGAGAAAAAAGTACGGGCAAAATGAAGCCCTTGAGGTTGCTAAATCCACTCCCAAGAACTTCTCTAGGTTCTCAACTTCAGGGCAAAGAAAAGCTAGTTGTCCTAGAAACCGTTTCCTTATCTGATGGGAATAAAGTTACAGGTTATAAGCAAGGTGTTTCTTGGTCTCTGCTGAAGAGTGCTATCTGATGAATAACTTAAATTTTCCCCAACGTCAGCCATCCTTGTATGGGGAGGTAAGTTTCAAATTCAGTGTGGTCTGAACACTTTTCAGATGCTGGGGTTTCACACCAGTATCTCCTGAGCGTTGCTTTCTACAGGTCCTTCATTAGTGGTAAGGGGGAAAAAAATTCAGAGGGAAGGTTTGATTCCTGTCTCTTGAATTTCTGTCAAAGCTTACATTTTATGGATTGCCGGTAGATATGTGACACACAGATCCAGCCCAGGAAACGCCACTGCCATAAGCCCCCCAATTCCTGTACCCCACTCCAGACACACACCAATCACCAAAAACTGTGTGAGAAACAGCAGGAAGTGAGCGAGCATGAGAGACAGACACAGGTAGAGGTAGGACAGGGACAGGAGGGTTGAGATGGGAACACAACGACCTACTTCAGTTTCCAAAGCCAAGAGCAACAGATATTAACACAGGACAGACAGCCAGCAGTCAGTAAAAGCTAACGTCCTTTTTAAGTGAACAGGAGGTCGCAGCAGTGACCTGGCCTCCCCTAGGCATACCTTCTCTCCACCGCCCCTTCCCCAATGCATCCCAGCACTTGCCTCCTTGTCTCTGCGGGCGGCATCTAGGGAGACCAAGGTGTGGCCCTTGTGCTCGCCCTGGCCACACTCCTGGCAGATGCACTGCTGGTCAGAGCCGCAGAAGGCCACCAGCGGGCTGTGGTGGGTCGGGCAGGTACGCAGGTCTCGATCCTTCACCGGCTTGGTCAGCTGGTGGCTGTGCAGTTTGACGTTCTCCTGGTGCGGCCGCAGGTGCTCCTCACAGTAGTTCACCATGCAAATCAGGCAGGACTTCACCGCCTTCACCCTGTTGTCCCCGAGACAGAAGTCACACGGGATCTCCTCCTCTCCCTCACCACCAGGACCCCCCTGCTCTGCAGAGTCACTGCCCAGTTGCCCGCTCTCCCCCTGAGGGTTCCCTAGGGAGCCCATGTTCTCCTCTGCTGGGCTGGCTGAGTCAGAAGCTGGGTTGAGAGTGGCCAGAGGGTGTGTGCTGACACCGGGCAGCGGCCCTGGCACCATCAGCTCCAGCTCAGCCATCTGGAAGACTGCTGCCTGAACTGTCCTTCCTCTGCTCTCTGGCCCAGGATCTGTGCAGCTGAAGCCCAACAACTGAACCACGCCTAGATGACTGCAGCTGCCGTAAGATCTTAACTGTTTCCTCACTCCCAGAGGCAGCTCAGTTAGTCACTGCTCTGCTCAGGACTGGGACGGCAGCCAACTGCCGTGACAAGGCAGCTAGATTACTCAGACTCAGGACGGTGTACCCAGGATTTCTCCCCGCAGACTCAGGCCCCTCATCAGGTCCACCCCCGAAACTTGTATTCTTACATGAGTCACTCATCCCCCCCATAGGCTCTGCTGCAGGTCACGTGTGTCTGTGGCTGCTCTGGAAAGGGCAGGAGACATCTGAGCTTTGTGTAAAAAGTCTGTGTTGCTTAGTGTAACTAATTTTGTTTTTCCCTTTTCTGAAAAGATCTAAAAGCTAAGGACTTCAGTGGTAGGGCAACCACTCACTTTCCAATTTATTGAACTGGACTTGAGGCAGTTAAGACAGGACACGTTTCTGACCCTACCTTTTCCAATTTACCTTCTAGCACATTCCTGGAGACAGGGCTCAGGTAGGACTTCAGTTTAGATCAGGAGGGTCAGAAAAGAATGTGTCTACCACTTAGAGCTACTAGGCTACACATCCTGCCCTCTGCTTCCTAATAAAGGGTGTGTACTGAGAAACAGCCCCTTTGCCCACTTAACAAGGCGCTCCTACACAAGGCACGCCTAGCTCCTGAGGCCGCCATTCACTATACCACTGACAGGTTTGTTTCAACAATTCTGGAGGCTAGAAGCCCAAGATCAAGGTGTCTATAGGGCTGGTGCTTTCTGAGGTCTCTGTCCTTGGCTTGAAGATGACTGTCTTCCCCCAAATCTCCGCAAGTCCATACCTGTGTGTTACCTCCTTGCTTATAAGGACGAGTCATATTGGATTAGGGTCCACCCTAATGACCTCATTTTAACTTGATCATCTTTGTAAAGACCCGATTTCCAAATATTCTGAAGTACTCTGAGTAAGGATTTCAAGATACAAATCATGGACAGGGAGACAATTGGGTCCATAACACAAGCCAGGGGATGAAACAAGAAGTGTCCAGGGCCTAGTCACTGCCACTGGGTGGGAAGACACACTGTCTGAGACTTTGCCAGATGGATACCAAAGAATCCAGGTGTCTGGATTCCAGCTTCTGTACTCCCGAATTTCTACAGTTTTTCAGTGGTATTTCTTCAGGTACACTCAAAATGAGTTTAGAAAACTAATGGAACAGAGGGAGGAGAGGTAGGGGCCCAGGCTCCCCTAACTCCTGAGTTCAGGGACTGGGTGATTCCAAGGCCAGGAGCTCCCAATGGTGAGCTCCCTGGGGTGAGTTTTGCAGGATTTAGACTAAACCAAATAAATCTAAGGACTTTTCTTGTCACTGACCAGGACATTTCCAAAATCAAGAAATTCAGAGTTAGAGGGCTGCTTTAAAGACTAAAAATCTATCTCACATGCAGCCCTGTTTTTTTTTTTGATCTTGCATAAGATATGAATATCAAGATTGCCTACAAGCAGCCCTTTTCAGCAACAGAAAATTGCTAAGTGGCCCGTCTCAAGAGGTGTCCTTGTTTTCCATTTCCTGTTTTAGGTTCCCAGCCAGGAGAGAAAGGAGCTGGTTTCTGCCAGCCCAGACTATCTTCCGCATATCTTCCTTTAGCAGAGAGAGTTGGTTTTCTTTTCATTCCTTTTCCCTAATGAGGAATGACATGATGCTGGAAGCTGAACCAGTCTACCCACCTGCCTGGAGCCTTGATCTTTCTGGACAGGAGGAGGGAAAGTGGTTGCCTTGCCTGACCTGCTCCAAGCCTTAAAGGGCACTGGGCTAGCCTGCGTTTCTGTTGGTTTCTCACTTCTCTCTTTCCTCATCACCTTGTTCCTTCCCTCTTTCTTCTCTTGGGAGTTGTTTCCCTACCTGTTCCTTCTCAACAGCTGACCCTTCAGGGAAGCTTTCTGGGCATGTTCAGTTTTCCTATGCTTCATGCTAGCCCAGAGCTCGCATCCCACAGAGGCCTGAAAAACAAGAGCTCTGGATTTCCATTGCAGCATGATCCGGGAATATCACACATCTTTAAGTCTAAGTTTCCTCATCCATGAAGGAAAGGCCTCCCCAAACTGTCCAGAAAAGTCCTTCCCTAACATTGGCACTTGGCACATGGATTATTTCACAACAAACTTTACTGCTTCCTACCTAAAAGAATAAAAATTGATGCTACTACATTGAATTAGACCTTTTATCAGAAATCGATTAAATACTATCTATATGGCAGGGCAAACACCCAAGTAGAGAGTATCTGGCCTTTGTCATATGAGTCACCTTCTCCTCCTTCTGTATCTCTCCTGGAAGCCCAGGCCTCTACTGCATTCTTTACTTCAGAGTGTACACCTTCATTTTATCCCACTTACTTTAGAGTCTACATCCATGCTGACTCCCCCTTTGTATGTTACTAAATTTCTTCTTTTTTCCTACTAACCTGTTATTCTCGCTAATGATATTAATTTGATTGCTCCACCAGCCTGAGAAGAACCCAGAGGAGTAGGAGTAAATTTCCCCTCTGCCCCTACTTCCATAAAATGTGTGTGTTGACCTAAGTCAGAGCTAGTAAACAGAGCTCTGCTTTTGCTCCCTGGGGAACTATATTGGGTTGAAGTTCACACCTGAGCTTATTGGGTAAAGGTGCCATGATCAAGTGGCAATACCTCACCAGATCACAGGCCGGGAGAGCAGTGACTCTGTGGAGCCACCTCTAGTCTTTGGGACCACAGAAACTGTCACAACTTTTAAATCCACTCCACTGCCAAGCCTTCAAGCAGAGCCCACTAGGGGCACTGCTACACCTAAGTGCTGACCCTACTTCCAGGGACTATAACACATCTCACAGCACAAATCCCCTGGCACAACTCTTCAGCACCAAAGGGTTGGGGTACTTAAACTTGAATTCCCTACTGAACTAAAGGCTCCACAATCACTACCACCCCTTTCCTCCAATTGCACCCTGGGAAACCCTAATATTCTCAGACCCTTCTCAGACAGTTTCATCTGGTTCCTTGCCAATACTGAAACTGGGGCTTTCCCAAAGATACCATTTCTCCCACTGACTGAAAGAACTGCGGCTGTTCTCTCTCTCATTCCCTCATACCCATATTGGGTAGAAGTCATCCTCCCCAGCCCTGCATTGCATTATACAGGCAGCCACCACCCCCAAGCCTCTTATCCAGCCTGCTTCCCTGATGCTCACATAGCCAAAATACCTTCTCCAGCTGCCTTCTACTGGCCTACAGGCATGCCTCTCTGAGGCCAAAGGCCCCAGATCGCAGCCCCAATTCACCCCAGCTTTCATCCTTCTCGGAATCTCCACCTAGAGGTCCATCACTAAGGACCTTTTCCTCAGCTATCCAGGCCATACCTGGATTTTTTATTAATGTGATAAAATAGACATACAATATGCCATCTTCCCCACTTTTAAGTGTATAACTGAGTGACACTAAGTGTATTCATATTGTTGTCCAACCATCACCACCCTCCACCCCCAGAACTTTTCATTTTCCCACACTGAAACTATCCCATTAAACACTAATTCCCTGCCCCTCCCAATCCACTGTCAGTGCCTAGCTACCACCATTCCACCTTTTGCCTCTATGCATTTAACAATTCCAAGTAACTCATCTGAGTGGAATCATGTAGTTCTTGTCTTTTTGTGAATGTTTTAGCTATAGCCACTCTCCAACTAGGGAAGTACATGAGAGTCATATCCTCCCTAAGCACAGAAGGTCTAGTCCTGAGTTGTTACTAGGTTCTTTTTTGTTTACCAGTGACATGTGGCCATGGGAACTCTTGCCTACCTCTTTCCAAACCACCCAGGCTTCCAGGACCAAAATTAGCAGCAGACCACCCAGGAACCCATGGGGGAGGTTCAGTGCCTCAGAAATGGAGGATTAGGTTGGAAATTTGGAATTTGACTATACTTTCCAGGTATTCTGAATAAATTCCAGACTCAAAGGCATGATATATTTTTTAAAGATTTATTTATTTATTCATACAGAACTGGGGTACAGGCCAGAGATGCAGAGGGTGAGAGGATTCACCAGGGACAGAGTGG